GAGGGGGTGGGGGCTCGATTAAGTAGATGCGAAGGGACAGGAGAAGTCATTGAGGGGAGATGACAAGCCAAGAAAACGACTCCGTGCTTGGGAGACGGAATTTATAAAAGGAATCAAAGCAAGCATGGAGACTAGTTCAGAGAGAGGCTACTTTAAATTTCTCCATATTGTCTTGATTTTCCATACTGCATTTCGAGAGAGTGGTGCAAGTAGGAGAAAAGGGTTCAATTCGAGCTTTCTAACCAAATAAGCACCTTTTTTGTACTTTTGACTACGCATGGTATCACATATTGGCCTGGAGATCCCCACCATCGACTTGTGGTTCATTGGCGTAATGACGTACTATGATTTCACGACTAAGGCATCCCCCTGTCGAAACCATTCCGAGCCACTTCCGACCCCGAAATAATTTTTGGAAATTTTTCAAATGGATGAAATGCCTCTATGTCGTGTGCAATCGTGCCCTCGGAGGGATCGCTGCCCCTGAGAGGATAATTTTTTGTTTATTTCGTCCCTTGACCCCCTCCAGGGCCGGGCTCAATCGTATCTCGCTGACGCCGTACATCCGGGTCAGCGTCGGAAAACATTTCCTGACAGCGCCTTGGAACCTGAGTTGAACACGATGGCAGGCCGCATATCCTCTAAAAGGCGCAATGGAAGCAAAATCTGGTTTCCAATTGTGTAATGACAGAAATTCGTGTTCATTCAATAGCAGAAAAGGTCTTCGAATTCCGTTGAAGTCGTTTAGCCTCCTCTAAGGTGTCACGGCTCTAGACTGTCAAACGCTGACTTGCTTTTCTGATACGGCACAATTTCTTGTATAAAACAAATTTGCAGAAGGAATTAATAAAGTGTGGGTGTGCTGTATCTATGGAGACTAGAAAATTGAGTTTTAATCCGGGCGGCCCAAGTGTCTGCAGAAACGACCGCGGGGATTTGCATCATCCACCTTGGCACTTATACTGAACCATTATTTGATTTTTTTCAATACACAGTAATAGAGACAAGAAACTATGTAAATTTAATGTCTGGCCAAGTAATATACGTGCAGAATGAGCTGTAGCAGGAAAAATGTCGATTGCGTCAGGAGCCTATATTATATGGACCAAATTCCGCAAGCTTGGATGAATTTACGTTCTATCCCTTCCGGCTGATTTGCACAGCGTCCACACCACATTATTACAGCTTTCTGTATCTTCTACCGGGCCATCGACGAAATGAACATCTCCCAAGAGGGGGACTTTAAAACGACCGAAGGCCAAGTAATTGGGGTAGCCCCGACGTCGATTCCTGACTATGAGGGTGTCAGAAAGCGCAAGAATATCGAGACCTCCAGGACAGCCGAGGATCGGTGCGTCTCCTCATATGGACCAGATTGATGGAGATCAACGAGCCGTAGAAAGCCGGTGATAGTATCTCAAGTCAATAAATGGATGAGCCGTAGAAGCGAGAAGAGGAACGGAAAACGGCGTCAACAACGACCTTAACTTTCCCCCTTGACAGTGTAAACAGGCAATTAATACTGGCTGGGGTCATGAATCCTGAGGAGAAGAGCTATTGTCTCCGCGCAGGTACGTTGAGAAACGATGTAGGAAGAGCTAGGGAAAAATAGATCCAACTTGACACGCGAATGCAGAACGAGGGAGGGGTACAAGGGATGGCGGCATTCTCGTCGTCATGTTGTCGAGCATCAACGATATTTACAGGCCTCGCAAAGGGATTTTACAATTTCAAAGGCCGGGTAAGTGAGTGAGAGGGGTACTTGGAGGTCTTAGCTGAGATCCCACTGTCTGACGCCTCTGGTTTCCTCTTTCTGCAGGTTGAGGATCTTGAGCGCGTCATTTGGCGGGGAAAATGCATCAATAAGAAGGTAAGAGAGGATACTGGCGCAAGAGTGATTTGCTCTATTTTCACATTTTATTGGTTGGTCTTCTAAAACCTTTTTCTACTTCTTTTATTCATAATTACACTTTAAGTGCCGCGAATCGCAAGCAGCAACGGTGAGAATGCTATTGGATCAACCCGACAATGGAGCTGACCACATTCTTCACAAGGCAAAGGTACGAATTCACGATTTGCTTTCGATGCATTAGTCGCACAACGAGATGTGGCCTTCTCAACTCACGAACTTGATCGGACGGGTAGTTGTCAAATAAGGAGGGGAATCTTGGGGGGGGGGAACGCACAAGAAAGACATAGCAAGACGAAGTAGTAGCGATAATTAATATGATAGACAAAGACTTTGGGTCGACCCCTTTTAAAAATCCGTGAAAGTACCAATCTGTCTTTTCCTCACTCCTTCTTCCCGCCGCTTTGAGGGTGCTGTGGTGGTCTGCTCAGTCTGCGAGGAGAGGATGTATGTGACGCGCCTGTGCGAGGGCCGGCCAGAGAAGGACACAGGAAAGGTAAAAGCTAAAAGACAGGAAGAAACGAAAGTAAATGAAGAGTATGGAGAGAACTGGAATCTTTATATTCGATGTGATAAGCAATTTTGATCTGGACACAAGCATGCTCAATAAATCAATGCAGTTCCATCATCATTGCAAGGATTGTGGAGGCTTGGGTATCTGCACACGAAACGCAACCAACGCGGTAGGAGAATCAGTAGGCTATGGAGGGAGGGAGCAGGAAATAGGGAACATCACTTCGGAGCCCCTATAATGTAGTCTTTTACAGCGACTTTCCTCCAAACCGCTTTCCTAACCGTGCTCTTGCTTCCTATTTCTACCCTTTCTTATTTGCTTTTTATTGTCGTGCAGCATTGTCGATATTGCCACCACCATTTCGACACGGGAATATTCCAAACAGCCCAGTGCCCATGCAAGGAGACAGTGGTTGTTTGCTGCAGCGTTGCGTAAGGCGTTGTCGCCCTCATCTCTATTTTGGCCGTGTTGCCGCTTGACATGGAGTAGTGCCATGATGTGTTGAAAGGAGTTTCTCATTACATGTGATTATAAATAGGAATGTAATAAATTTTTCTTGAAGAATTGGATGGGGCGCACTCTTATTCTACCATAATGAGGTCACTCTCTGTGGATTCAAAAGGCCTGGAGAGCAGAAAGACAAAGAGGTAGCAAACTTTTTATATAATCTGCACTTGGAATTCGGGGTTTAAGACTTGGAATTGCGTACTGTATCACAACTTTGACATACTTGAAATACAGTATTTACGGACTAAATGTGTAAGAACATAAAAAAGGGGATAAATGGTATGTCCAAGACAGCACTGGAGATGTATTTTGATTCAATTTTCAGGAAAACCGCACGAAAGCGAAAGTTTCGAAGCCTATGCTTTGATCGCTTGAACGAAAGTGACCGTGCGCATTAAAGTAAATGTCTTGCCTCCAAATCAGGGCTTCCTCGTTGCTGTCCCCTCTGCAATAAGAAGCTGTCGAAAAATCCTTTAATATCAATTGAAATCACCTTTGGTATTCACACTTCTCGACATCCTTCTCAGTACATTTCGTCCCTTTACAATGCCTCTATGGACATTGCCGTAACACCCGCTGCCTCCTAAATGATTTACATCATCCTTCCTCATCCTGGTACAGGACTCTCTGTCCCCCCTTCTCTCCTCTTTCTTTCCCAAGATGCAGTATCCTTTCCTCTCAATGAAAATGTGTCCAAGACTTCCCCCCCTTCTGCGTCGCTTAAGAAGGTTATCGTCAAGTGTGTGCGATTTACGGTCATCAGCGTCAGCCCAAAGTGCTTATCATCTACCTTCTCGAAGATGGAGGGCTGGTTGGGGAGCACTGCGAACAAAAGAGAAAGCAGAGAAATGGAATGGCACGAGATTAAGTCTTAAAGGCGAAACAAGATAAAAGGGCGTCTACGTATGAAAACAAATCTTTCAAATATGTTTTCTCAGAAAGAGGCATGCTTCGCTAAATACCATCGCTTCTCCGTCCCTTTCCCGTCATCCCGCGCCGTTCCATTTCCCCTCTTCTCTCACCATTTTGGCTCAAACCTTGCCCCGCCATCCCCACTACAACATGGACTGGAGCCTTGTAGACCGCGTCGCTGCTGGCAGCGAGACATTTGTTCCGGTATACTTGGCAGGTGCGCTGATAGGAGCTAGTGGACAAAAACGAGGGGATATCGTTACATGAGAAGGTAGAGAAGATAATGGAAACAATGCGCCGTTCTAGAATGTATGCCTGCTTGGGCTATCCTTCCAGAGGCAAACAAGATCAGACGACCGTAGATGATCAACCATTGCCCCTGAAATCGGATCAACGAGGCGTGCAGCGACATGGTACCGTCTTCCCGAGGAGAAACAGAATACTCACTGATGGTGACCGTACAGCCCCAAATCCACTTTATATTGCACCTAAATCAGAGTGGGAAGTGCCGGTGAGTGTGAGCCTTGTGTCTCCTGTTTCTTCTCGACCATTTCCCCTCCTTACCATCACGTCCTCCAGACTTTGCTGCATCAGGCGGGCGACGGCCTGGTCCGAGGAAGCATCCTCGCCGTCGTCCCAGTCACTGTCAATATATAAAGGCCGGTGGGCAGCTACAACGACCCAAGGAGTGAGCGTGCGGTTGACCTGGAAGAAGAGAAAAGAAAGGCGAAGGGGAGGGGCGGATCATCACTGAGTCACTGGAAAGAGGTAGTGACGGACTCCTCCCTTGTAGGAAGGAAGTCGTCGTGGCAAGGAGCAACGAGAGAGGAGTCTGAATAGGGTGAAGACGGTAAGTGCGAAATAGAACCCTGAAGAACGAAAATATTGGGATAAAAGAGATGCGAATCCGTCTCCTTCCCCACCTTGTTGGAGAGCGCGTCGATCATGAAACTGAACTGAGCCGAGCCCGGCGAGAAGTCCTGTGTCCAGCTCTATGGTCAGTACTAGCCTTTGATCTTTCCCTCCATTCCTCCCTCCCTCCCTCCCTCCCTTCCTTCCTTCCTCTTCTCCTCGCGCCGAACCTTTTCAGTGCATAGGACAACCCAATGCACGGGACCAGTGCTGAAATCATACCAGGGTTCATCTTTTTCCAGCTCCCGCCACGGACCCGGCATGGGAAAGCGAAGCTGAGTGGGTACGCCGCACTCTCCTCCACTGTCCTCCCCTGGGGAAAAAATACAAGAAGAGATGAGAGGGTGTACGGTGAAGCATACAGAATGAAGGCCGAGAGATGATGCAACCTGAAAGTACGCAGTCTAGATTCCAAAAACATCCAAACGGCGAAAGAAATTGACGACAATTATAAAATTATGAGGGAAGCGGCGCAGTATGAAAGGACGGCTGGGATTCATTAAAAATTTGGGCAATGTCGTGGATAGTCCGCAAAAGGGAAAGTCGGGAGAGAAAGAGGAAAAAGAGGATACGAGAAGCGAGAGTGGAAGGAAAATCAGACATCTTACCCGTGAAGAGGGAGGGCGACACGTGAACTCTCGATACATCACTGGCGTCGCGCTCATGATTGCCAGAGGAAACCATCCAAGGTACGACCTATTAATACAGGAGTCCGGAAATCAAAAAGGCAGAAGGAGTGCAAGAGGTGAAGATATTTGAAAAAGCGGTCGATTCAGCAAGACCGAGAAGCGTAAAGTGGAGTAAAGAGGATGAAACAGACATGGAAAGAAGGTTAAGGGGAGAAATACCTTCATGATGGCCTGGTTTTGGCTCAAGAACTCGTCCCATTGGTAGTCATAGCCCTTGGCATACGAGAGATCGCCAATGTGGAGGACAAGGGAGAGGGGGGGATGGATCGACGGCGAGAGGGCTCCCATCAGGAGCCGGGTGGTGTTCAATGATGCCACCTGGGTTCGGCCGAGAAAAGGACCGTAAGAAGGGAGAGAAGGGTGCGACGTCAGAAGTACGAGGGAGACACGAAACCGATACCATGACAAAAGACAAAATCGACAAGCTGTGAGGTCGAGCAACGGTGTACAACGCTCGTTTGCTACCATTTTCTCCCTACCTCCTCCCCTCCGATATCCAAGCTTCCGTCCTCCTCAGCAGTTCCCATGTCTCCAAAGACTGCAAATGTAAAGGTCTCCACCTTTCCCTCTTCTGCCTCGCGCCTCGAAAAGTAGCCTGGAGCCTTGAAAGTTATGCATTCGCTCCATACATTCAGATCTGTGGCACCGAATGCAGCCCCCCCAAACAGAGATGGTTAGACACCTCGATGGTGATTTTCCTCACGACATAAATTAATTTGTCTCTCCCTCTCTATACTCCATTTCCCTCTCACTTCCTCACCAGCGTCCCCGACGCGGTATACGTATGATACCCCCCCCTTCAGTCCCGTCATGACGCCTGTATGGAGCGCTCCGGGATCGTGGTAGCCGATGCTGGTAGCAGGGGGAGAACAGAGGTCGCCCCGTGAGTAGGTAGTGGTGAGGGCCAGGGAGGAGTGCTGCCAGGGGACGGAAAGGAAGGAGGTCAAACGAGCGATGCTGAGATGTTCCATGCCGTGCACGACCTGAGGGCGATAAGGGAGA